AAGATGAAGACTTATGCTTAGCTGTAAGATGATACACTTAAATTCAATCCTTATACTGTGGATAGAATAATAACAACTAAAAACAACCCTAACCCTAACCGTGTTGTAAACCCTTTTGGGGAGATAGGGCCCTTCTGTATTCATCACTTCATGAAATCCTTTTAACAATTTTGTATTTTTTTTTTTTTATTTCTAGGAGAGAGAGAGAGAGAGCGTGAGCAGGGGAGGGTCAGAGAGAGAGGGAGATACAGACTCTGAAATAGGCTCCAGGCTCTGAGCTGGCAGTCAGCACAGAGCCCGACACGGGGCTTGAACCCACGAACCGCGAGATCATGACCTAAGCGAAAGTCGGATGCTTAACCGACTAAGCCACCCAGGTGCCCCTCCTTTTAACAATTTTGGAAGATAGGTATAAACTTTATCCTAATTTTTCAAGAGAACAGTGCTATATGGGGAATTAAGAGACTGATACAGGGTATCTTGGCCAATGAATGGAGAAGCCAGAACTTGGGTCTAGGACAATATGAACTCTACGACTCCTGAATTTGTATGGCATTGTACTAATGATATTCAAGGGCAATACCTGCCTTGTTGACAGCTCCTGTTGTCCTCTTAAACTCTATCAAGATGGAAGCCATTGTGGGAAAAAAACATGAATGTTGTACAAAATGTTATCACTTTAGGAAGTCTCTGGTGGCCTTTGGGGATGAAACCAGAAGGAAATGGCAGAAAAGTAAGAAGGTGGCGAAGGCTCTGAAGCAAGAAAGGTCTTGGCAGAGATCTTTGGGAGAAAATAAAAGAAATCAGGAGGCCAGTGGTGAACCACTGGGAGATGGGTAGGAATGAGTTGCCCAAGGTTTCACATAGGATTTTATAGTTTACTGAACACTTATACAGCATGTCCTATGTGCCAGACACTTGTTAACCCTCCTATCGGTTCTGTGAGGTAGAGCTTTTTATTAATCACACTGTTCAGAGGGTAAAGCTGAGGCTGAGCTGCTTGCTGACTCAAACTCAGGCTGTCTGGCTCCTGAGACTGCTGCTCTGCGGAAACGTGGTGAAGTCAGTGTGTCAGGGAACTTCCAGTGGAATGCCTCTGACTGGTTGGATACAAAGCCTAAAACATAGGGTTGGGCTCGGGATTGAAGATACAGATTTGCTAGTCATGTAGGCTGCAGTCGATGGCTTTTCAACACATTTATTGATCTGATTTGCATCAGCAGATTTAAGGGTGATGCTGCTCCTTGCTGGTTATGTTCTCAACTGGATAAACTTCTGTAGTTGTTTTTTATGCTGTAGTTGGTTTTATGGCCTCGTGGTCTTCCATGGATTTCTTTGGGACTAGATGTATTGAAATCACAACAACATTTTACTCCTTTATTTAAAAACATCTTAAAATTTAAAAAAGTTTTAATTAAAATTTTTATTTTAGAAAGAGATAGAGAACACACAGGGGAGAAGGGCAGAGGGAGAAAGTAAGAGAGAGAAAGGGAGAGAGAGAGAGAGAGAGAGAGATAGTGGCAGAGAGAGAGAGAGAGAGCGAGAGAGAGAGAGAATCCCAAGCAGGATCCATGCTCAGTGCACACCCTGACATGGGGCTCGATCCCATGACTCTGGGATCACGACCTGAGCCGAAATCAAGAGTCGGATGCTCAGTTGACTGAGTCACCAGGCACCTGTAAAACATGTTTTTTTTTTAATGTTTTATTTCTTTCTGAGAGAGAGAGAGAAACAGTGTGAGCAGGGGAGGGTCAGAGAGAGAGGCAGATACAGAATCTGAAGCAGGCTCCAGGCTCTGAGCTAGCCATCAGCACAGAGCCCGATGCAGGGCTTGAACCCACAAACCATGTGATCATGACCTGAGCTGAAGTCGGATGCTTAACCGACTGAGCCACCCAGGTGTCCCCCCGTAAAACATGTTTTAAATTAAAAAAAACCTAGTATTTATATAGTACTAATTACTATAATAATAATGATAACAATATATTACATTAAAATACTATTACTATTCACCATTTTTAAAAAGCATATATAAAGTAGAGCATACATATTATTTCAAAAGTTGATACACTGCAATTTCTGAACACATTCATATATAAATGATATCAAGACTTCTTTCTGTAAATCTGGTTTTATTCAAATTTTGAAGAGAATCCTCCTCTCATCTTCTCCTGGATTCAAATATTGCATTTAAAAATGGCTCACAGGTATATTTCAGAGGTTAGTGTATCAAAATATCATGGCAGAATAGTTTTACAATTCTTGCTTAACTCATTGGCAAAAGATACCAAACTTTATTACAGATTAAAAGGAAGACATTAGTTTGCCAAGGTTCCTTTTGGTTTAACTTTGTACTGGAAACTAGATAGTGAGCAAAAGGTGATTCTGCTTCTGGAAGTTTGTGGTCCAAGGAACCATGGTTCATAGAAAGAACTGACCATAAGGTAACATGTATAGGGCTCTAAGAGGCACAGGCAAAATTCACTGGAAAACACAGAGGAAAATACATGTAGTCTTTTCCTATATATGGCATTAGGAATCCCCACACTGATGCTCAATTCTGAACTTGTATAAAATAGTGCTGCAGTAGTTAATACAGTCACATAGGTAGATTGATTATACATGAACTCTGGCTGCATCTTCGAGTGACTCCGAAGTTTATAAAGCAAATATACCTCAAGTTTAAGGATTTGAAGGAGTTATAATGAAATTTTACCACCAAAATTGGAAAGGATTAACCAAATAAGTGGCTTTCTTCTCTTCTCTTCCCATTCTTAATCTATTTTTATTTGATCATGTGGCATCTGCAGAGATGTGTGGAATTATATAATCTATTAATTAAATTAATTAAAAGCAGATACTATTGACACAGATTGGATTATAAAATCCACCTATGTGAACAGAGACTATTTCTTTGCCTGAGATTACTTAGGGGGTTCAGTTTTTTTGTATGAAAATGGAATTACATACTTAAATTGTTTTCACTTTTGTCAGTCAGCTGAGAGTCTTGATTATGAATGAATGCAAGCGTTATGAATTACGTGCTGGCTGTTTTTCCAACTCTCCTATAATGTATGTGAGAATGGGATGTTTGCTAGTAATGATAATTTCAGATAGATTTTCTAAGTTTGCCCCCTAAACAATGGACCAAATCAACTGCTCAAGGTAAATTTTGAGTCAAAATTCTAGACTTTAATGCCTCTTTCGGCTGAAAATTGTCCCCAATATGCCCCACATTGAAATGCTTTGTCATTTTCTGTTTCTATTCTAGTCTCCTTACCTTTGCTAAAAGTGCAGCCTCTCCCACCTCTCTCTCGCCTACACCTTTGTAGATTGCTAAGTGTCTATTTTCATATTTAAATTTTTGCCTTTTTTTTTTTTTCAGAAAGCAGGGGTGCATGATCCAGTCTGCTTTTCTCCTCATAAGTCTCACCTTTATTATTTCCAGCTTCACTTTTTAACAAAGTTATTATTTTTTTCAGGTGTTCCCCTAGTGTCATTGGCTCTGCTCAATGATTAAGGACCAATTTTCTTCTCTCATCCCAATTCTCTTACTATCCATGTGCTCTGCTCACAAAATCAGTTCACGTTAAGTATGAGTTGGTGACAAGAGCAATGGCCTTTGAGTTACATGTGGCTTTCAATTAGTTAGCATTTTCCCCTAAGTGATAAAATGAAAATCCCAGCTTAAATAGGTTCAGGCCATAAAAAAGAAAAAAAAAAAGAATCATTGGCTTGCATACCTGAAAAGGCTAGAAGTGAACATTTTCACATGGCAGGATCCAGAAGTGCAAATAAAGCAGCCAATGTACTCCATAAAGTGTAGCTAATTCCTGGCAAGTCCAATCTCAGTAGGAGAGCTTTTCTTTCCTGATATTCTAATTCAAAGTCTGAGATTAACTTTTGATTGGACTAATTTAGATCACTTGCCATCCCTGAGCCAATAACTGTCACCAGAGGTATGGAATATGCTAATCGGGCAAGCCTGGGTCATGTGTCCATTACTGGAATCAGGGAGTGGGGATCAACTCAGTCAGAGCCATAAGGACTTAAATGGGGAGGAGTGGTACCCAAATGAAAATCAGGGTGCTAGTTCAGAAGGGGGAGGGGAATGGATGCTGGCCAGACAAACACAATAAGTATCCGTTATGGTGGCCTTCCCAGGCAGACTGTGATCCTTTTATTATTTTTTTCAAAAATTTTTTTATAGTTTATTCATTTTTGAGACCGAGAGAGACAGAGCAGGAGTGGGGGAGGGGCAGAGAGAGAGGGAGACACAGAATCTGAAACAGGCTCCAGGCTCTGAGCTGCCAGCACAGAACCTGATGCGGGGCTCGAACTCACAAACTGTGAGATCATGACCTGAGTGGAAGTCAGACACATAACCGACAGAGCTACCCAAGCGCCCTGACTGTGATCCTTTTAGAGCTCTGGTTTCAGCACTCAGATTTTTTAACCCTACCTACCACTATCAAGAATGCTGTAGAAGACAAGACTTAAAATTCACTGAATACTGATAACAAATCTTGACTGCAGGGTGATTGAATAATGGTTTAGATTTCCACATTTTAAAAAATGTGGCAGGAAATAAACATCTGCTGTTTCTCTAACTTTATGGTTACTAATAACAACGTGGGGCAATAAGGAAGTTTCTTGGCAGAAGAGGTGCTAAGACTCTCTTGCCTACGCCACATTCCTGAGCCTGACACCTGTGTGTACCCTTCGGTCTCAGAACTTGGCTCCACTCCAGGGCATGCCTGATACTGACCTGGCTCATCTCTGTCCTACATAGGTCATGCTGGGTGCCTCTCAGGTTAGATTCAGGCTGTTTGTGACACAATTTGTTGCCTCATGCGTGTCATGTGATTTACCAGCTGTGTGACTTTGCACTGGGCACAACCTCCCTGACCTTCAGCTAAAGCCCTGCTACATTTCTACTTCCTAAGGTGATCCTAAGGAGCTTTTGAGTCAATGTGAAAGTAGCCTGGCATGTAGGCAGTGGTTCGTAAGTGGAGGTTATCATTGGAAACATGTCCTCAGGGAACCAACCTCCTGCTCAGATCTCTGGCCTTGCCCTTTTAGAATTTTCCTGTCTCATACCCTCATTGCGTCTGCTCCACCTGTTCACCTCTGGTGAGGTTTTTTTTCCTTTTCTTGGAATCTTTTCTTGTGGAAAGAACACTTGACATCAGATTTACCTTCTTAACAAATTTTTAAATGTTTAATATATTATCATTGACTATAGTTGGTGCATTCTTCATAAGCTTATTATAATTTCTATTGCATTTATTGCATGCTCACTGTTTGCCTAAGCATCTTAGATGGTGAATCATGTGATCCTTACAAGACTATAGGTGGGTAGTATTTATTGTTTTCATTTGACAAATAGGGACATGAGGCTTAGAAAGGCTGGGCAGCAGAAGGGGCAACCTATCACAAAGCTGTGGAGACAGGCCAATCCGACACCCTTGTTCTCATCTACTGAGCGGTTCCGAAATTTCAGCGGGGAGAAGGATTACCTGCGGTTTATTCAAAGTGCAGATTTCTGAAGCTCATCCTCAAAGGTTCTGATGTGATGGCTCCGGAGCAGATCGGAGAGATATTCACTTATAACACCATTTCAAGGTGATTCTCCTGCAGGTGGTCCGCAAACCATATCTACGGGTGAACTTAGAGATGACCGTATTCCTCTCCTGTGGTGGCTTACCTCACCCACCTTCTCTGGTGAAAGGAGGGAACTGCACAGCCACCTGAAGGTTAAGGCACGTGTCCTGCTGTCAGGCACACGGATGCCCTCTCCTGGCTTCCCGCATTTAAAAACAACTCCTTAACCCTTCGAGCACCCAAGCTAATCTGATCCATGAGCACTTGAATTTAGGTTGGGAGTGTATGGATTATCCTTGTTCATATGAGTATCTGCTGTGCCCTATGCATATAACAGGAGCTCAAAACATGTTTGCTGTTTGATTACTTTTGTACTGTGTCCATTTACATTTGGTCCTTTTCAACTTAAATGTTCACTTTTCCTCAAGCATGTTGTAAGATGCTTAGAAGGTACTAACTAGTCTTCCATTTTCTCTGTCTTCTTACCAGAGATCTCCCTGCATTTCATAGATGCTCGGCAAAGACTGCTGATTCATTCAGCTGTAAGAGAAAATGCGTAATACATCTTTGATGAATTAATTAACCATTCAAAAGGGTTGGTTACCACTATGCATTTGTAGATGATGAGATTTTCATGACTGGAAATCTTTTGAATATTTACACTTGATTTTCCACTTTAAAAGTTCAGAAGGGAGGAAAAAAAAATAACCCAGTTTTAGCCTCAGAGGTAAAATATTTAACTGCTCGACATTCTTTGTTTTGCATAAAGAAATGTTTAACCAAAATTCCTCAGCTTACAGTCAGTTGCCAAACTTTTAAAAACAAATGTGCAGCATACAAATGCAGGCAGGATTTATCTCAAAATGCAACTGCTTGTGGATTATGTCTCTACTTCAATTTCTTTGTAGGATCGCAAATTTTTTCTAACGCTTGGATCTGCTCAAATAAATGGTTTGTCCTTTGGTATCAGATTCCTTATAAGAGATCATTGTTGAGATACCCAAAAGTTTAGTGATTGCATCAGGAGTTAGAGACAGAACTATAAAATAAAATGCCTGAAGTATAACATGGTGACTAGAGTTGATAACACTATTGTATAATTGAAATTTGCTAAGAAAGCAGAACGTAAATGCTCTTACAAAAAAAGTTAATATGTGAGGTGATGAATGTGTTACTTCATTTAATGAAGGGGAGAAATCTTTTCATAATGTATGCTTATAGCAGATCATCACACTGAACACTGTAAATTATCTTATAACTTTGTTGATTATACTTGAATAAAGCTGAAAAAAAACCACAAATAAAAATAAGATAAAATGTCTCTCTTCGAAGAGTCTACCATTTAATTGCAATGACAGTAAAAGTGCATAATAAATAATGGAGGGTAAAAGATTATTGTTTGTATGAGGGATTTCCAGGATTTTAAAGATTATCTAGTTCAAATCTCTTACTTTTTAGATAAAGGGGTTGGAAGAAGAGATACAGAGATGTGGCATGGTCATAGAGAATGGTGAAGGCATAGACTGAATTTCTTCTATTTAATCCAAACCACAATAAAACCTAAACTCCTTAGAAAAAGTTTACATTTCACCAGAGCATTAGCAACTTGAGGAAGATGGTCAGGATCCAATGGCTTGTCAAACCAGAGGGTTATTAGTTATATCAAAGAATGAATATCATGGCATTGAACCAGGAAGCTAATTAGCATGGGGATAGCTGTTTGGGTCATACAATTTCAAGTGGGTGGGCAGAGAACAGGGTCTAGAGCAGTGCTGGGTGGTAAAAAAGTATATAATGTGAGCCATGAATGCAAACCATATGTGTAGTTAAAAAATTTCTGGTAGCCACAATAAAAAAGTAAGGAGAAACAGGTGATATTAATTTTAATAAGATATTTTATTTAACCTAGTATCTCTAAATATTATCATTTCAACATGTAATTACTATGAAAAATAAGGGATTTTACCTTTACTTTTGTGTATTAAGTCTTTGAAATCCATTGTGTGTTTTAAACTGAGAGCAGATCTCAAATACTTAATAGCCACAAGTGGCTAGTGGCTTCTGTACCAGACAGTGCATGTGTAGAGGCTACTCACGATTGGGAAGGGTTGGCAGAGTGTGATAATGCCAAATGGATTGATCTGGTCTGAAGGTCTCTTAGAGAATGCCTTTCGCTCTTTAGTATGCATAGAACTTACCTGAGGATCTCATTAAAATGCAGACTTTGGCAGCAACTGCATGGCTCAGTCCTTTGAGCATGTGATTTGGCTTAGGTAGCGATCTCACAGTTTGTGGGTTCGAGCCTGCATTTGGCTCTGGGCTGACAACTCAGAGCCTGGAGCCAGCTTTGGATTCTGTATCTCCCTCTCTTTCTATGCTTCCCTTGCTGTCTCTTTTCCTCTTAAAAGTAAATAATAAACATTAAAAAATATTTAAAAAATAACAATTAAAAAATACAGACTGATTCACCAGGTCTAGAATTCTGGGGTAGGTCGAGGATTCGGCATTTCTAATAAGCTTTCAGGTGCTGCTGCTGCTGCTGCTGCTGCTGCTGGTTTATGATCCACACTTTGAGTAGCCAGATACATTTAGGTCATCAACGACAGTGGAGAGAAAAAAAAAATGAAGTTCTAAGTGGGCCAATCAGAATTTTCTCAGGAGGGGAAAATTTTTTGCTTACTGAGTTTCTTGCCTATGAAATGGGAACTTGTAGAATACTCTTCTCCCCAAAGAGCAGAAATTACTGTTCCATTCCATCTGTGGTTTCTTCCTCACATGACTATGACTGAGATGTTGAGGTGTGCTCCCATGCAAGAAGAAAAGAGGGTAGAAATTCCTATCTCATATCATAAGTGTGGTATCTCTTTTAATTTATGTAGGCCTACTCTAATGTATTTTTAAAGCATTTTATGATTTGTTCTATAAAGGCCTTGGAATATATTTTGATAGATTTATTCCCAGGTATTTTTCCCAGGCAAAATTTATCATTTTTATTGCTGTAGCAAACAACATTTTAGAAAAGTACTTATTTTTTTTTTCAGTTTGTGACTGGTGTCTAGAAATGCAGTTAATTTTGATTTGATATCCAGAAAAGACACTAAATTTTCATTAATTTTCATAATTTATATGGAAGATATTTTGGATTTTCCAAGTAGATACTCATCATCTATTAAAAATACCACCTTTTTCCTTTCTAAATACTATTTATTTCTTTCTTTTTTCTTGTCCATATTGCAATGTCTAGGTTTTATGAGTGTATTGTTGAATTGAAAATGTAAGAGTAGGTATATTTATAATTGTTTTGAAGGTGTTTTTTTTTTAATATTTTTATTTATTTCTAGGAGAGAGAGAGAGAGAGACAGTGTGAGCAGGGGAGGGTCAGAGAGAGAGGGAGACACAGACTCTGAAATAGGCTCCAGGCTCTGAGCTGGCAGTCAGCACAGAGCCCGACGCGGGGCTCGAACCCACAAACCTCGAGATCATGACCTAAGCGAAAGTGGGACGCTTAACCGACTAAGCCACCCAGGCGCCCCTGTTTTGAAGGTTTTAATATTCACCATTAAGTATGTAATTTGTAGTATTATTTTTGTAGCTATCCTTTATCAGTTTAAGAGCATTTTATTCTATTCTTGTTTTTTTTGAATCATGAAAAAAAACTATGCTGAATTTAATCAAATAATTTTTTGCATCTATTGAGTTGATCGTATGTTTCTTCTCTTCTAAGCTATTAATGTGGTAAATTATATGAATAGATTTTCTATGAAAACCAACTTTCTACTAAAAACCAGCTTTTCATGTCTGGAATAAATCCTACTTGGTTATGAAATATTATGTGTTGAATACATTGTAACATTTGTTCTAATATTTTGCTAAGAATTTTTATATTTTTGTTTATTACTAAGATTAGCCTGTGATATTCCTTTTTATATACTTTCCTTTTCTAATCTGATGTCACAGGTATATTAGCTTCATATAATGAGTTGGGGAGTGTTTCCTCTTTTGCTATTGTTAAAAGAATTTGCCTATGTTTATGATGGTCAGTCCTTTGGGCATTGGAAGGAGATTTCCTATAAAGTTACCTAAGCCTAATGTTTTCATTTGGGAAAGATATTTGTCTATTAATTCAATTCCTTCAATTTGTATAGTATTGTCAATTTTTCTTTCTTTATGAGTTGGTTTTGGTGGTCTGCATTTCCTTAGTAACTTATACATTTCATTGAAGTTTTCTTTTCTTTTTCTTTTTTTTTGGTATAAGGTTTTTATTTTTTCTTGTTATAATTTTCTGGAAGTATTTATAGTTATGTCCATATTTTCATTCTAAATATTGTTCATTTAGACTTTACTTTGTTTTTCCTGGTCGATGTTGCCAGAGTTATGTCAGCTTCATGAGTTTTCTTAAAAGACCAGCTTCTTTCAGCTTTGTTAATTCTTTCAGGTATTTGTTTTCTATTTCATTAATTCATGCTCTTGTCTTTATATTTCTTTTTTTATTTTCTTAGGGTTTATTTTGGCTTTCTTTTTTAAAGCTTCTTTTAGTCTTTTTTTTTTCTTTATATATCATTTAAGGCAATACATTTTCTTGTAGGTATCACTTTACCTTGTCCCATAATTTCTAGCATTTAGTTTTCTAAGTTCCATTGTGTTTTATGCTTTGATCCATGAATTATTTAGAAGTATTTTAAAATTTCCAAATGTATGGATTTTTATTAACTATCTTTTTGGAATTATTCCTTGTATTATTTTCATGGTAAGAAATAAAAGTGGTCTCATGATGCCAATTCTTTAATGATTTGTTGTGGCTTGTGGTAGCATGAGGTTAACTTCTTAAAAAAGTGTTCCAAATGTATATGAAAATCAGTTCATTCTCCAAAATTTGGGTGCATTATTCTATGAAATCTTGTTTCACATCTTTACTGATTTAATTTCTGTTTCATGTATTATTACAAAGAGGGGTATATGAAAATTTATCTGCCCTAATGAGGGGTTTGTTTAAGCTCCTTGTAGTTTTGCCTGCTTGGAAAATATTCTTAAAGGCTATATTTAGTAGATACAATAGGGTTTAGGATTAACTTCATATTGTGTTGAACTGTTTATCATGCAGTAATATTATGTAGTTTCTTATTATCTTCAATAATACTTTTTGCTGCACGTCTATTTTGTCTAATATTATAGGTACAGAAACCTGGGTTTCTGGGAAGAAAGATTCTGCGTATCTTCTTCCACCTTTTAGCTCTGAACTGTTCAGGATCCTATTGTTTGTAAGTATCTTAAAATTTTTTTTAAGTGTTTATTCATTTTTGAGTGAGAGAGAGACACACACACAGAGTGTGAGCAGAGGAGGGGCAGAGAGAGAGGGAGACAGAGAATCTGAAGCAGGCTCCAGACTCTGAGCTGGATGTGGGTCTCAAACTCATGAACTATGAGCCGAAGTGGGACGCTTAACCTACTGAACCCCCCAGGGGCCCCTGTAAGTATATTTTATAACAGTATTTATCCAGAATTTTTACTTTATCTAGACTGACACAATTTTACCTTAAACTGAAGTGTTTTACTCTATTTACAGTTATTTTGATTATTGATGCATTTGTATTTATTTCTGCAATATTCCTTTTTTTCCTCACTTTTTCTTTCCATGTTTCTTTTTGCCTTTCAAGCTTTCTCTTTTTTATTTTTCTATTCATTCTCATTCCATATCCTCCTTCCACTAGGCTAGAGAATATAACACCTGAAGTGTATAGACACATTTAATAGTTACCTTTAATATTTTAATACAGTCACTTAAATTATTAAAGCCTACAGTTACTCAGTTTTTATCACTTCTCCCAAATGATAAAGACTGTAGAACATCTTAATCACCATCCTCTCTCTTTATCCTCTATTTTTGTAGTCTATTTTATTTTTATTTTTAAATGCTTATTTATGTTGAGAGAGAGAGGAGAGAGAGAGAGAGAGAGAGAGAAAGAGAAAGAGAGAGAGAGAATCCCAAGCAGGGTCTACACTGTCACCACAGAGCCTGAAAAGGGGCTCCATCCCATGTACCGTGAGATCATGACCTGAGCCGAGAACAAGAGTCGGATGCCTAACTGACTGAGCTACCCGGGCACCCCTGTCGTCTATTTAGATCTAACCCTCCAGAAGACAAATTATTATTACTGTTCTACACAGCGTTCATTCAGATCCATATTTCTGGCCCTATTGACATTTTGGGCTGGATCAATCATTGTTATGAGGAGCTGTCTTTTTTTTCTTTGACAGTTTTATCTCATTTTATTTTTATTTAAATATAATTTGCAGAGAATGTTGTATAAATTTAGGGTGTACACTATGTTGATTTAATACACCTATACAGTGCAATATGAGTATCACTGTAGTGTTAACTAATGACACCATCACATTACATAATTGTCATTTTTTTCTTTATAGTGAGAGCAACTAAGATCTCATCTGGCAACTTTGAAGTTGATAATATGATATTGCTGACTATACGTCTCTGTTGGAGCTCTCGTGTGTACTGTAGATGTAGCAGCATGCCTGGTGTCTATACAGCTACCTAGAGCACCACCTCTCCCCCAGTAGTCATGGACAAATAAATGCCTTCGAATATTGTCAACTGTCGCCTCAGGGAAAAATTGCTTTTGGTTAAGAATGGCTGACGTAGATCTACCCATTTAGCAACAATAGCTTTTTTTTTCAACATTTTATGGTATCTCACATCTTCCATTACTTCTCTTCTGCCTAAGATAAATAATGTAGAATTTTCTTTAGTGAAGTCTGTAGGTTTTTTTTTTTTTTTTTTTTTTTTTTTGTAAAAATGAGAGAAGGCTATTTTTTCTTTGTTCTAAAAAGATCATTTATTGGGTACCGAATTCTGGTTAGAGTGTTGTTTTCCTAACCAGCACATCGGATAAATCATTCCACTGTTTGGTGACCTTGTGGGTATCAAGAAGAGAGCTGTCAATCTAATTGTTATTTATTTTTAGATAATATATCTTTTCTCTCTGGCTCGCTTGAAAACATTTTTCATCTTTTGTAATAAGTATCACTATCATGGGTCTAGGAGTATATTTCTTTTCCTTCTCTTGCTTGTGATTCATTGGCCTTTCTGAATCCAAGAGTTAGTAATTTTCAACAGTTTTAGGAAATTCTCAGCTATTGTTTCTTTGAAAGTTGTTTCTCCCCCCATTCTCTCTGTTATCTTTCTGGAGACGAGACACACATTAGATTTTCTCACGTTATTTTCCATTTTTCTTAAATTTTCTTTTATGTTTTCCTTCTCTTGGCTTCTCATTTTTGTATTTCTTTGTATTTATCTTCCAATTTAGTAGCTGTTTCTAGTGTTGTCTAACATGTTGTTTCAATTTTGAACAGTTTTTACTTCTGTTTTTCTTTTTTAAAATATTTATTATTTTTTGAGAGAGAGGGAGAAAGAGAGAGAGAGCACGATAAGAGGAGGGGCAGAGAGAGAGGGAGACACAGAATCCAAAGCAGGCTCCAAGCTCTGAGCTGTCAGCATAGAGCCCGACATGGGGGTCAAACTCATGAAGAATGAGATCATGCCCTGAGCCAAAGTCAGATGTTTAACCAACTGAGCCACTCTGGCACCCATTACTTCTGGTTTTTTAATTTTAATTTTTTCTATTTGTGCCTTTTCAAATTCTCTTAGAACTTTAAAAATTATTTCTTTAAATTCAGAGCATCAGTGCTAGAGTCATCTCTTCTGGTCCTGCGAGTTCTGCCATATAAGGTTTATTTTGAGCACGTTCCATTTGAGTAAGACCTCATTTTAATATTTTAAAACAAGATTTAGGACAACATCTTGCAGGGTTGTTTTTAGGGTTAGAGATGATTCACATGACATACGTAGAGCGATATTAGGCTTAAACTGATCAGCAGTAGCAACAATAGTAATAAATACTAAGACTGAGTAGATAAGGGGCAAACATGGTTCTTCTGTTTCCTAGAGAAGTAAATTTTAAATGAGATAAATTATACTGGGTTCAAATAACAGTTTTTCTGTTACATAACTCATGTCACAAAAACTAAAATAAAAATTCTTCCTTTTTTTCAAAAAATAAAAATGTTTCTTCATTCCATCCTCTTCTTAATGCCTCTCTTTTATTTCTCTAAACATATTAAACACACTTATTTGCTATTTTGTGAGCATCTGTGGGTCTGATTTTGCTGTCTGTTGTATCTATTTATTCTTTCTCATGATACTTTGTTTCCTTCCATGTTTTGTGTTTTTGAAACATTGGGATTTTGTAAGGCCTGGATTGATGCTGATTTTTGGTAGTGTCTGTTAGTTTCATAGGCGTTTTTGCTGATGTGTGACCTCTAAATTAAATTCCTCATTTAAGGATATTTTGAATTACATACGTAGATAAAATTGGTCTGGGAACCCAGGTGAGAAGAGTTTATGGTTGTGAATTATTCTGGGTAATTTGCCCCCTTCAGGCAGTACCAAATTTCCTTGCCTTCTTCTTCCTTGTTACCTTCTACACAATGAGCTTATTTCTAGAAGGTTGTAGTCTTTTGGAGTCTCAGTCTCCCTATCTTCAACATTTCCAAGGCTTTTGCTCCATGTTTCATTCCCATGTAGCCATTGTCAAGAACTGTGAAGGGTCTGAGATATTTTTTTTTAATCTTGCTTTTACCCTACCTCCAAGCAATCGAGTTTCATGGATTTTGGTGCAAGTTGAAACTCCTGAGTCAAAGGTGAAGGAGAGGTTTTTTGTTTTTTGTCTTTTGTTTTCGGTAGATGTAGCTAGAGTATCAACATTTTGTGCTGGTTCCCCAAGACTCACTTTCTGCAAGGTGACATGAAGAGGCATCAGATGACATCAACACATCCAGTGGGTTGTATTATTGGATAAAAACCTTGAGCTTAGGCAACCTAAGTCTTTTATAATAGGAAGTAAAACATACCTGGTTTTTGCTCCAGAGGGAGACATTGTGTCTGTCTTCCAAGGCTGCTCAGGGAACAAACATTCCTGAAAAGGTAGTTTACAACAAAGAGCCGTTAGTGCCTTTCTCATAAGACATGTAGAAACAAGAGAGACCTGTGGAGAATTATCTCCCAAAAGTCATCAAAATGGAAGGTCATGTTTTAGCAGATATTCTTAGAATAAAAGTTAGTGCTAAGTAACCTCAGAGGCTTCTTATTTCAATTTAACCTTTGCAGCTTCCTTACTTTTTTGGTAATAAAATGTCTAATATATTCTATTCAGCATTTGTTTAAAAACAAAACCATTTTCTCAGATTTCTAGTCTGTGATATTTCTGGAAATTAAAGTTGAAAAGTCAATTTCTAGGGCCTAAAACTAGACAACTACTTTTCCTAAGCTTATTTCTTACTATAATTTTTTAATTGTCTTCTATATCTGAACTATAAGCAGTACCTTTATATTTCCTTCTTTTTTTTACTTTCCTATTATGAAATAGAACTTTCCACTTAAAAAAAAAAAAGAATAATTTAACATGCAAAGGAAGATTCTGCTCTCATGCTGCGTACAAAAATGGTTTCCCACATCAGCATTTGTAAACTCTTTCTTGCTCTCCAAACAGAAGAAAAACTCTGTTAAGTCCCAGGCAAGAATAGCATCACAGTGGATGTAGGAGTTAATCTTTAAAAATAAAACTGTATTAGAATCATCTCTCATTTGAAATGGTTTTCCTGAGTTGATTGCAACTTTCTGGGGTTGCAAATATTGGTAAAAATAATTTTTACTTCCTTTATGTGTGTTTCAAATTCTCATGAAGCTTATTTGTCTTGAGGCTTTTGTTATGGCCATATGTATGTAGCCTGCGTGTAGATGTTAAGACACAGGAGTAGTTTGTCCTTTGTATTTTGTTATTTATGGTGGTGGTTATTAGGAATGAGAGATAGAACATGTACCATGAGAAGACATTCATATAAGAATAGAAAATCTTTCAGACAGCACTTGTCAGAATTGATTTTCTTCTACCTAACCCCTGAAGGTAACTCTTGCCACTGTTGGTGAGGCTAAAGGGTTTCTAAGAGGTCATTACAAGGTGTTTACAGATCACTCAGGCTGTAATTCTTAGTCCAGTAACTCAGTTTCCAGATCTCCATACTATTTAGCTTTGTCCTAAAAGAATAGAGCCAATTTTCATGTTAGAGGTTAAACATCAAGGCTCAGAGCAGTAAATTGTTTTAGTGTCACAGTGCTAAGAATCAAGAGCTGGGTAGAGACCTAAGCTAAAGTCTTTTCTGAGTTTTGACACAATATAAAATTTTCCCAATTTATACCCATGGACGCTGGTTCTTTTCATGAGCTATTAATAAGCACTTCTCTAAAAGAGTCAATTCATTGAGAAAGTGCTGGTTTAAATAAAATTTAGAGTATTTTTCATGTATTTTGGATCCTAACCCTTTACTAGTTATGTGTTTTGCTAATATTTTTTCCTTATTCTAGGTTTTGTCTTTCTGCTTTTTTAAAAACAGTATCTCTTGATGAATAGATGTTTTAAATTAAGCTATAGCCTAAGTTATTAATATTTTTTTATTGTTTAAGCTTTTGAGGTTTGGATTTGGAATTATTCTTTAATATAATCTCATTTATTTTCTACCAGAAATTCAGTGTTTTGTTTTTTAGATTTCTGGCTATAGTACACCTCAACTGATCATATAATATACCTGGAAATGATTTGGCTATATGGTGTGAGGTAAAGATGTAATCTTATTTTGGGGCGCCTGGGTGGCTTAGTCAGTTAAGCATCCGACTTCAGCTCAGGTGATGATCTCATGGTTCATAGGTTGGAACCCCATCTCGGGTTCTGTGCTGACAGCTCAGAGCCTGGAGCCTGCTTTGGATTCTGTATCTCCTTCTCTTTCTGCCCCTCCCCCACTCATGCTCTGTCTACCTCTGTCTCTCAAAAATAAATAAATGTAAAAAAAATTTTTAAGATGTAATCTAATTTTTTTCACATTGATAAATAATTGTTACTGCACCATCTGATAACCAAGTTTCAAGGGTCACCTCCATCATGTGTGAAATATCCACATGTGTGTCAATTTGTGTCTGGCCTCTATTTTGTTCTGTTTGGTTACTCTATTCACACACCAACACCAATGCTGTTTGTAATTGTAAAAATCAAAATCAAAATATTCTATAGATACATAAACTGGGATATATTCATATAATTGAACATTATTCATCAGTGAAATAAATAAACTATAGCTACGTATGTTACAGTCTCATAAATAATATCTTGAGTCCTCCGCAAAAGAATTATCAGGATAATACCTAGAGTATTATGCAATTTTTAGAAAAGCTAAACACATGAAAACAGAATTATTTATTGTTTAAGAATATATGTAAAGATGATAAAAATATTAATAAATGTATGGACACAATCTACATTTAATATTTTGTTACTTCTGAGAGATGGAAGAGCTCTGATGGGGGAAGGGCACACAGAGGTTTCAGCTGTATTTGTAACATTTCTTTCTTAAGCTGTGGGGCATTTGGGTTTTTGTGATTATTGTTCATGTTCTTACCTCTAAGGTTTTTTCTAATAAAAAACGCTGTAAGATGCCTTTACTGCAGTAGTTCTCAGAGCCTTTAATTTGTTAATAGGCCTTGTCTTTGTTCCAAAAAGGGGATCTTCTATAAGTATTTCCCAAATTTAATTGACCATGGAATCTTCTTTCCCAGGAACACCTATTGGTACCTTGGGAATTGGTCTGTTTTATGGATCCCAGATTCAGAATATGTACATTTGCCCATACTGCTTATAAAGATAAGACAAATCCAAGGTTTAGTCTTTCGTTAGCATGTCATCGAGTTACCAGAAGTTCTTTGAACCCAGC